CAGGAGAAGAGTCGCTGTAAGACGCTGCGCGCAGGAGTCGCTGCAAGCCCTTTTTTGTTTTTTTGGAAATTCCGTTGAGTCCTTGTGCGAAAAAGCAAGCAAGTCCCTTAAACTCCGAAGTTTGCGTGCGAAGTCCACTCTCCTCGACAGGCCACGAAATTCTTTCCAGATTGACTTTCAGCCAGCCCCAGGTGCAAGAAGGAACACGGCGCTTGAACACGGTGAAGGTGCCTTGTGGGGCTGGCATCATTCATTCACACATAGGCGAAACGGAGGTCTCCAAGTTGAAGTCGGGCTCGTGCAGTCAATGGTAGCATCAGAACATCAGTTGTTGTTTGTCAGACTGTTTTGCATCTTAACGGCCCAAGCGCCTGTAGAGCTCTGCAGTTATAAGCGCACGCAGGCATGTGACTGTGTGTCTATGCCAGTCTATGCGTGTACGAACATGTGCATATGTGTGTGAGTGTGTGTTCGTCGTGCAGGCCCAAGGCTGGAAGGCATGACTAGTCCAGTCCATACTGTAAAGTTACGAGTGCAGAATCGGATGCTCAGGCCGATCCTGAACCTTAACCGGCACGTCAATGTAAACAATGATGTATGCGGCGATGGTAGGTCACGAAGGAAAACGAATCATTCCGATTCCTTATGTTTGAGACTCGTACAGCCCGACTTTGCAGCCTGATCCAGAGGAAAAAATTAGAAGCATGAGACGGGAGCCTCAGAACAATCGAAAGATTTCACCAGTCCATGCCTTGCCGAAATTCTGGTTTAGATATCCGCTTCCCCATGCATTGAGTGCAAGAGCCTCGCAACTTTCTGAGGCAAAGAACCGACAGAGCTTAGAAGCGCTTCAGAAAGTGCTTGGCCTCAGGGGATGGGTTTCGTTCTTGGGGGGTTTATTCTCCTTTCAGTCTAAGCTTCAGGATCTGATTCAGGGTTTTTCGTGAGAGTGGGGATTGAAAGTAGCCGGGTTGGCAGTGTCGATGCTTCGGCTTCAGGCTTGTGTCCTGTTGGGGACGAGATGTGCGCTCAGGGTCCACATCCCAGCCCTCTTCTCTTCCTGCTGCTGAATCACCCTCGTCTTCGTGTTCATCTCTATAGATATGCTTCTTCCCGTTGAACCAGCACCACCATGCATGAGGATCACCGCCGAGATTAGCAGGGTTTTCAATATCATGACAGAGCCAGCAACAACTGCTTACCAAGCCTGCGTTGCCACACTTCTGATGCTCCAATCCCAGTTTCATGCGAACAAAGATGGAACCGAACCCGGCGCTGATATCTTCGATTCGGACTCGCTCTTCATGAACATATTGTGGTGAATGTCATCGCGACGATCAATGTTCCTGCAAACCGCCATCAAGTTTCTGGGTTCTGAGCAAGCTGCAAGCCCATACTTAATTGCAACAGTGGGCCGGCAGGAGAAGTCGCGGAAGGCTGATGAGCTCCGGCAGGTACCTGCTTGGTGGCGAACTTGATACACATATGTGTATATATATATATATCTAAGATAGATGTATACAGGTGTGTGTGTGTGTGTGTATGTCTATCAGATATCTTTTTATACATCTACCTAGCTACCTATCTAGCTAGCTAGTAGTTATTCATTTGTGTTTGTCTATCTATCCCTCTCCTTCTCTCTCTGTGTCTTTATCTCTCTCTCTCTCTCTGTCTGTGTTAACTTTATGGGGAGGTGCGCTTTAGCTAGTTGCTTGCGCTGTAGGGTCAGCAGCCCCATCCAGAAGCCGAGACCAAAGGACATGTACTTTCCGTGCGGATGCTTCCCTCAAGTGTTCACGTTTTGGTGCTTCTTTGGCTCGTGAAGTTTGGACCTGCAGATCGGTGCTCGAGCAAGGAGCCCCAGTGCTTCGCTTACCAAGCGTAAGGGATCGTTCTTTGCATCAGCCAGTGGATGGATACCTGTAAGATCGCTCAAGTCAACCAAATACTCATCGGATGCATACTGTTGTGTTATTGGCACATGTTTACAGTCTGCCTCTCTGTCTCTCGCATGTATATACAGATTTATGTACATGAACACATGAACATTGAATGCATGTATATATATATATATGTATATATATATATATACACATACATGTAGATATATGCACAGAGCGTCTTTCTCTCTCTCTCTCTCTTGTTTCAAAACGTGTCTGCCTTCGCATGCCTTTAGGCATAGGACTGCGTAAGGCATGTGTGCGCATCTAATACATACAAAGCAATAGCGTGTGTGAGTGTATCTTTATGAAGCTCCAAACCACGTTCCAATTCATTCGGCAGTTGTTTGTGTAGCAGCTGCCCATCCTCTGGCAGTCTCAATGTCGCAGACACGGCGCAAAGTCTTCGCGGTGCCATGCAAGCTTCCTCGCGTGGCCGGTGCTGTGGCATGTGCCGTGGCCTTCCGCAGCCAGGGAGCCTGGGTTAATGTTGGGCAAAGCATTATGGTGTTGTTTTGTTGCCTATGGCTACTGCTACTGCTAACGTTGGATCTTACAATAGACAAGCCAGCGCCATGACAATCTTCATTGTTGCTAGCATTGGTCTTGCGATCAACAATATAATATACTTTTACGGTTGCTGTGGCAAATGCGATCCCTCTTCTGCCACAAGTTATGTCCTTTTTGCCATGCTCCTTCTCGCCGTTTGAGCTATATTCTATTAGCGATTGCCACAACGGTGATGACAGTGAGGATAGCAAGGATCGTTCTTAACGGTGGCTGCGATTACGGTGTTGGTGATGATGGCAAGACAGATCACGAAATACCATGGTCACTAGGAATTGTTGGATTGGTTCCATTCGTTGTCTCATGCCATGTCCCGATTCGAAGATCCAGGATCCTCCTTTGCAGAGCTTTGGAGAAGCGGACCGGGACTTCGAAGAATTTCCACTGGTGCTCGGGCGGCGAAGGCTGCGATGTCCTCTTCCAGCCGTCCAGTTCATGTACTCGCGTGCGCGACGGAGTATCGCCAGGAGGGGGGCTCTATGTGCGGCTTAGGCAGTTTAGGGCTGTGGTCGGTTGGTCTTCGAGATATAGCCGTCCTTAGGAATGGTCCTCTTCATAGCTCCTATTCAACGTAGGAGCTGGGTTTTTGGTACCTGACACGGGGACTCGGCTGGAATAACCTCCAGGAGACTGCGATCCTGCAACGGAGTGCGGCCCGCAATGGCTGCTCGTTAGCATTTTGCAAAGTCTCGTGTGAGCACACATTCCAGCAAACACGACTACAGTCGGTGCATAGCCAAGCCGGATCCCTGTGAGAGTCATACTCGTGAGAGGCTAGAGAACTTTGGCGACAGAGGCAGATTCCTGGTGAGGGAGCAGAGTCCCGCAAAGTTCAAAGCCGGGTTGTTGTGAGACCTGGTACGTAATGGCATAGAGGGTGTTAGATTCTGCGGCTGGGTCCGTCTTAGAGTTGTCCTCGCCAGAGACGAGAGAGATTTAGAGTAAGAGTCAGTCCAGGTCCTTGCATGTTCAGAATTTAGACACTGCTGAGCAAGTCCCCGAAGCTTTTCTCCTGGTTGGTTCATAGAGCAAGGTCACTGCCGGTCGCTTTAAAATCCACACCACCGCGCTCCCACGAATGTGCGTGAAAGACTGACTTTGGAGGGATCTATTGCATCACTGCACAAGGAAGGGGGACTTCAGCGTTAGAGGCAGGGTTCTCTCCTAAGTACTGGCACAGCGAGCTACAGAGCGCTTGCAACAGAAAGGTTCAGAGACAGAGGCCGATTTTTCGTGGAAAGGGACTAGTTACAAGTATTCATGTGTGCGACGGTGTCCGACAAACTTGGCAACCTCAAGCTTGCCCGCCCTGCCATCGGACCACTCTCCAGAGCCTCACCGTGTCTCATCCATGGCTTTGCCTATGAAGAAGACCGTGATGAAGGCAATGAAAGTCCCCGACCATGAAGGCCAAGGCCATGAAGGGAATGAAGGCCGGCAAATGCAGGGGGCAGCTCTTGTTCAGCCTTTGCAGTATGCTTGTTTTTGTTTGGGGCGACTGCACCTTCCCTGCAGCAGTCGGAATTTTCAGGTGATGAAGAAGAAAGCCGTCAGCAAAATCGCTCGTGGCAAGCAGCTGTCTTCCAGGGCCGCAAGGAGACCCGAGTTGGTGACATGTTGCAGAAAGTCCAGCTAATTGGGTAACTAGCTTCGGTTGTTTCGCCGCTTGGCCACAAGCCGTAGGCTGCAGGATGCTGCAGGCATGATGTCACCATACAGAGGTAGCTTCACCAGCTGTTTCAAGCATGCAGCTCTTCGAGGAGAAGACGTCGACAGGCCTCCAGAAGCACCTTTTTCGGGCCAACCTGGCGGGACTCCACGGCAAGTCTCTTCACAAAGCCCGCCGACATGTACAGGCGTCCCTATACTTTTGCGGATTTCGAAGGACCAGCGCTCAGCTGTCAAGTGTTGTGCTGACGCCTCCGTCGATTCGGCTGGTGCCACACGGTAGTGAGGATGGATGTGGTGCAAGAAAGCACTGGCTAATGCAGGCCTCAACCCTGGAGGAGCGGGTGGACCGCTATGAGCCGAATCGCTGCCAACTCTTGAGTTCTTCTACGGCCCGGACCTGGTTCAGGCCACGGCCTTGCTAACGCAAACTTCCCACCTGGCGACACGACAAGGGCTCTCGCCGACCAATGGCGGAGCCTTGCCTCCAACTCCTGGGCCTAGAAGTGGTGTGTCTTGCAATATGTGGAGGGCTCGGAGCTTCAGCTTCTTAAGAACACCTTGAGTCTTCGGACGGCCGAAGCCGACACTTTGGCGTTGGCCCCTTGGCTGGCGTTCGCAGGAGTTCTGGATGCTCCTGGTGGGTTCACACACCTCCACCTGGAAGCAGCAGGCGTCACGAGTCTAAAGTTCTGGGTTCTTGCGAACTTGGTCTTCTTGGTGTGGGCATACCGACGCAATGCCGATGTCGATCACGACCTCGTGGATTCTGGCACCTGGAAGCAAAAACGTCACGACGCAAAAATCTGGACACCGGAAAAGACTATGGCGGCGAACCTGGACTTCATACTTGGCGCAGACAAGGCCGGTTTGCAGTTGACAGCAGGATGCCGACAGGATTTCGCTCGGAGCAGCAACGCACGAAAGCCGGAATCATGAATCACACGGGTAGTTTGTAAGTTAGCTTCTTCCGATGCAGAACAAAGAGATCCTACTTTCGGGACTTCAGTCAGCTTCCTGGCACTGCAGTTGGCACTCGTATCATAAACACGTACAAGAGCATTGAAAAGGAGCTCTGATTTAGAGAACCCTGCATGTGGACAAGCGCGTTCGCCCTGAAGTCTTCATTAAGAAGAGCACCTCTGCCTCTTCCGAGTTCAGATTTGCCCGAGCACTGCGTGAGCCCAACTCGAGCGAGATGCCGCACCTGTCGCATACTTTCGCGATGTCTGCTGTCCATAACGCATTTCGAGCCGTCTGCAAGCAGGTGGCGGGGGACATCCTGGACGTGGTGGCGCAGGCATCGTGCGGCTTGCAGGTTTGTTTTCAGTAGTTTGTTGTTGCGGTGTTAGTGCCGCTTAACAGCCTAGATTACATGGACCTGAACTATTTCCTGTATTAATTAGTCCTTGGATTTCCTTGGTATGCTACCAGCGTCGTAAACCCCAAAGGCTAGGCCTATGCTACTCACTTATCGGCGTCGGGAAGCTTGTTGCAGCTCGGACAGATATAATCTCCGCAACACAGTC